CCGTTCCAACTTCACTTTTATCCACCCAGTTTTCAACCTCCAATTCATGGACCTCCCCCAGTTGGTTTCGATAGGCGTTTACCTTCTAGTTTCAACTCACATGTGAACGCGGAGCATCATTCCAGCCCTATCGACAATCCCATGCCCAACCCAGCCGTCCAATTCAATTCAGCTGCTTTCATTTATAGTCCTCGATCCTTCTTCAGATTGGCATTTCTCAATGTACCCACACTGCTACAGATAGGTCAACAGGCAGCACTTGCCCGAACAGTAGAGACAGTCTCGATCGATATCTGCTGTCTATCATAGACCCGTCTGCAAGACTCGAACTATGTGCCCACTTTGCGATCCTCATCAGGTGGCAGCAGCAGCACTTTCTCATTTGGCATATCCGGTGATGACGCAACTTCGAGGACCGGATAAGCCAGTGTTGGTATTGCCCTGAGTCCCCGGGCTGAATCTGCTCTGGTTGATTGGATTTTAATCGGTAGCCGGAAGTGTGCAGTCCGATTGGCTGGCTCATTCAAAGCTTCGAAGTCGCGCGAGACTAATAGGTATTTATTCATCATCACTGCCCACGCGCCCACAAACTGTAGCGATGCTTCGATAAAAATCGACTTCTACCGCCAACTGACCCAGCTCCTTCTCCACAGAAGAAGCACGGACACTGTTGTGTTGGCGGGGGATCTGAAGGCACAAGTTGGAAAGTTGTCCACTGATGAAATGCATCTGGGCGGTCAGCATGGTGTAGGCTCCCGTAATGATAACGGTGAGCGGTTGCTTCATTTATGTGAAGCTGCCTGCTTATTTCTTGCGAGCACTAACTTCCGACACAGCACTCGCCAGTGGGTGACTTGGCGCCCACCTTCCTCGAATCAGCCTTGGACGCCAATCCATCACATCACAACCAGTTACTGCTGAAGTGGCTGCGTCCAGAATTTTCGCTCAATTTGGATCATATGTGTGGACACCGACCATGCACTTGTATATGCTGACCTGCGGATGTATTTTGGCGGACGCCCACCATGACGCTGTAAGCGCATTGACACCAGCCAACTGGCAAAAACCAGCTGTTCTGAATGCGTTTCGAAGTACGCTGACATGCGAATTGAGTAAGCGCTCACTGGAGACAATTGAAGGTCACTGGTCGCATGTTCACCAAACCTTACTAGCAGCAGGTAAATCCTCATGTACAACTTGGACATTAGGTCTCTTCGCGGTTTCTAGAACTTATCGATGCACGCCAGCATATTCCGGCTGGTAGCAACACAGTGAAACTCGCAAAGAGATCCTGGCAAAACTCCATGCTATCCTGAAGAGATGCCGCGAATCTTGGTTGTCTCTTCGTGCGTCAGAGAGGGAAGTGGCCGCTGCCCTTGGTAGCCATCGAAAGTTATTCCGTCTGATATGGGAGACGGGCAATAGGCGGCCTGGTTTTAGTGAAACAATTTGTAACGCGTGTGGACAGCCTATCCACAATTTGTCAAAACGTTTAGAGCGTTGGGCTGAGCATTTTGAAAAGCAATTTAATCGGCCGGAATTGTGCAATTCCTCACCGGACAGTGATCGCCCTACTCCCTGGGCTGTCCCTTTGGATCCGCTCTCTCGCTCAAAGTCCGACATGAGATCCGACTGTTGAAGTTAAACAATTGTACCGGTAGCGCTTGACGCACGATTTTCCCAAGTATTAGAGCGACAAACTGATCTCGGAGTTATAACCAAAGTTTGACGTAACCAAGTGGGTCTGTCTGACGGTAATTGTTGTTAAGTAGTCCGGTGAGTCACTGGTGCGTATCGATCCAACACCGCTTAACACAACACTTAGGAGAGTGCACTACAGCCTACCAACATTCGACGATATATTGCAAGTTCCAGCAACAGTGAGGTTTTTCACATAGATTTATCTGGCTTCCGCATATTGGCATAGTGCTGGATGGATAATCAAGTAACCTGACGACCTTCAGTACACCATTCGGGTGATTCCGGTGGTTACGTATACCACGGTTTTAAAGTCCCAAGTGAACTATTCTATAAATGTCTGTTATAAGCTTTAGATGATCTGCAAGTACATATTTGCCTGGCTGACGACGTGCTACTATTCGGTCCCACAGCAGAATAGCACAGCTGCAATATTGATCGGTTTCTTTAGAAATGCGCTGATAAATCCATTAATTTGTAAACTGACAAGGCGGAACTTCCTGGACCAGCGTGCGTACTTTAAGGACATATTTTGAGCTCCGATGGATTGAAACGTGAACCAGAAAAGAGCATGACAAGAAAATATCACCACCACCTGAGGATGTGAAAAGCGTCATTTGGTTGAACAGAATAATTAACTACCCGAGTAGCTATTAACCAAAACCGGCAGAAGGAAGAAGCTCGAACACAAACTGACGCACAAAGGAAAAACCGGCACTGGGAAACGAACGAGTGAAAGCGTTCGATCGATTAAACTATCTGATCGTGGCTGCTCCAATACTCAACTACATTAATCCATCTCTGTCTATCGAAATACAGTGTGATAGCAGTCGGCATGGACTTGGAGTGATACTACTGTAAAACGGAAAGCTACTGAATTTTCGCAGTCGGAATCCGACACCAGCTGAATGCCGCTATGCACAAATTGAGAAGGAGATGCCCGCAATCACGTTTGCGGTAAAACGTTCCAGCGACTACACTTTTAGGCGAAGTACTTTCGTATACACACATCATAATTCATAAGCGTCAATAGTCAAATAGCCGTGTTGTCTTCAGTGCACACTCATTTGACTTCTTAAACACGAACTGCATAACGTCTAGCAACCTGGGATATAACTGCACATCGCAGACGCCTAGTTCAGAACTCATCTTTCGCATACAGATGCAAAGCATGGGGACCTCGACACAGTTCATGCGACACAGCTACTCGCAGTCACCGGAGAGCCTTTACGTTACACGGACTAAGACGCAGTTTGCAAAAGTTTAGAATAAACAATAGCTGGTGGATGACCAGGGGATAAGAGCAGTTCGTTGACAGAGCTGTAACCGTTTTTATTTTCATGAGAAGCTCGTGGTAGAAAGCGGTTTAATCTCCAAATGAAATCGAGTGTTAATCCCAAAAACAGTTTAACGCACCATGCTGTAGGGGCACACTTGGGAGTGCTCAATTGCCTTGCATGAGCTAAGGAACTGCTTTTTAACTGGGATGGATAATCAGCTTCGGGACTACGTGCCGAACTGTCAGAATTTACATAACATTCAAGAAAGGAAAGAACCATTGCCGCTTCGTGAGTTTCCGGAAAAGTCGTAGTAAATAGTGTTAGTTTGGCTGTTCACACACGACAGAAAGGATTACCTTATCAAGTTAGATTACTTCAGGAACTATTTTAAGCTTGATGCAATGCCACCCGACCAGCGCTGATACTATGGTGAACAAGCTGTGCTGTCATCATGCTTGACATGGAATCCCTGAGGAAGTGGTATCGGATGACCGGCCGCAGTTTACCGCTGAAGAGTTCTAGGCTTTCAGTGGGAAGTGGCAGCATGATCACGGTCTTAATAGCCCTTATCACAGTCAGTCGAATGGAAAGGTTGAGGCATTGGTGAAGATTGCAAGGATAATAATAACTAAAGTTAAATAGCCGAAGGAGAATCCGTAGTCATGCTTCTGTAAAATAACCCACCTTATCGCTGGTAATAAAAATGAGCCATGTTTAACGTCAGTTTTGCTGCAGAAGAAAAGATTTGTCGCCCGTGGCCAAATTCCTGCTCCAGACGGAAACAAAATCGACGGCGAGGATTCATGAGTGACTAGAAAAGCGAATATTCAAACAGAAATGGTATTATGCCCGCGGATCTAGAGTATTACCACCACTTCGGAGCGGTGGAAAACTATGGATACAATTGTCGCCTAAAGCAGTAAAACGGTGGAAGAGGGGTGTGGTGGAAACGCGGATAGGGGAATTTTGGTAGTCAACATGGGAAACAGTCTGTGTCATGGAAGACGCATTCATGTAAGACAAATTCTGCCAAAGGGTGTGACCTCTTGCGAGCGACAACCAGCAGGAAAGCGCGGGTGACGGAAAAGAAGACGGAAGGAGGACTGCAGCGGGAGAGTGTATAGAGTTCCAGCACCGAGGGAGTACAAACAAAAATGTAAGGGTGTGGAATGGGTGTTACAATCGTAGCTCTTGGTTTTCGCCAAGGCATTCGGAACGAACAAGCATGAGACCGTACGCGCACGCGTGCGCGATAATCATGGTGTAACGCAGTATCAGTCAGCTGAATCGATGAATATGTTACGTCTTCTTTAGAGGCGTTAATAGCAAGGAAGACCAACCCGAAATCGCTCATTGGCGCGTGGATAGTCCCACAATTAGTCTGTTGATTTCCGATCGCAGCCAACCTTCGTTTTTGGTTCTCGAAAGATATTACACGACAGAAGTCAAACGGTGTATATCAACGGGAAAAGCACTAATACTGCTTCAGTCAAGAGAGTGAGAACTGGTGATTTTTGCTTGTACGAGTGCTTATAAGTGAGCAACTATGAAATGAAAGATTCAGTAAACAAACCTGGACCATCATCCTAATGCAACAAACCAGAATGTCTGTCAAATACTATTTGTGGTAACGAGAAATAGTGGTAGTAAGAGCAAGCGATGAACTTAATTGGCGTAAGCAAAAATAGGCTTTGAATACCTCTGAAAAAATGGCCAAAATATGGAAATATACAAATAATGTGAACATAAAGGAAAAGTAGCAGTCAGCAGCTAAAGTCCCGATAAACGATGGCTGTTAGGAGTTATGAAATTGACGTGGTAGTTCAAAGTATACGTTATGCACAGAGTTCCAGTATCATTTTGTGCTAAACCTATACAGAAGTCGGCATTTCTCACACCTCAGTAATCTTTTAAAGTATGTACAAAAATGTGTTACCTATAAAAAGTAAACTTGTTAATGTTTGGTCACGAAAAGTAACTGCAAAACTCTTCAATAAACTGTCATTACTTTATTTTACCAAGTCTCTGGCCAGAGATACACTCTCCAAGTTGGCCGAAGCGAGCCAATTAACAACTGTCGAACAGAAGCCCTCATCAAAAGAAGTTGCCGTCGAACTAGTGCTATCTACGATACAGGTAAGAGAGCTAGTAAGCGGAACAAAATCAGTCGATTTTGGGCTTACAATGATGACAGGAGATAGTACAGTAAGTTTTTCCTACTCAACCTGTTTTGATTATCAGTGTGGCAATAGCACCATTAACAGAACGCATCTAGCCGGTCGCGTCGACGCAATACTTTTTGAAAATAATTAAATACATCTAACTGCGGCTGCAATTTGCTACAATGCAGCGTTGATTTTATCGAAGAATCAAGAACCTCACTAGGTTTTTAATGTTACTTTAATATAAGCTCATATTATTAATGTGCATAATATTAATGATACTTGCTCTTGTTTCTTGACCTCGTGGCCAAACCGGTAAATCATAGCACAAGTGAAAGCAATTTAACCAATTTTTGCCATAAAAAGTACTGCTATATGGCATATCTTTAGTAGCAAACGCAGTAATTTCGTTATGATGTATCACATAAAAGATCAGGTACTATGGGTTGCTGCTGCTGTTGTTGTTGTTGCTATAATTTAGATAAATTTTCTATCGTGAAGCATTAGTAAGGTAAAAAGGACAAATATGGTGGGAAAAGGCCAGTTACCCCAAACGGAATATCTTTACAAAGCCATATTACAGTTCCAAACGTACCTCGAGATTTGCGGTTTTCAGCAACGGCATTATTGTGCAGTTAGTGTGAATGGGACTTTCTCCCTATTAATATGAAGCAGGCAAGTAGCAGTAATATGCTGATAGATCTGGGATTATCAATATGAGTACCTAATAACTTTCCTCCTAGAAGCCGCTAAGTCAGACATTCCTCTGTATGGTAAAACAGTGGGTCCCCTTCAGCCATTTGGTCAGAGCAGTGAGAAGACATAGGTTGCGATATGTTAACATTTCGATTGTTCTCATCAGTCGCAAACACAATACAAGCGGGATTCATGAACAGTTATATACAGGGGAAAAAGTTGGTACACCAATCAAAATGTTAAAATCAAGACCACGGTAACTTAATTGATTGTCTCAATAGTTTCTGTGCACACAACACAGGTTGATAAGCCCTAATTAGCAAGGCCTCACTAATTGCCAAGATTAGCGGATTGTTGTTACGTAACAACACCTTGAACGCAGTCTCCGGGTTCACCTGATGTCGGGTTGCCAAGAGATGCTTGGTGATGGACGATGCAGGACTCCTGTTCATCCTCGGATCCACTCCGTTTTGTTGCATCATCAGTTGTTCCAACCACCTCGGCACATGTTCAGCTACCCTCTGAGCTAACTGACGGTCAGTCCTGCCTATGTAAATGTCACCGCAACCGCAGGTGAACTGGTAAACGACGTGAAAGGCCGAACTGACTGATGAGTTTCTCTGACGGTCATGAAGAACAAGGCTTCGCTTTGTATGTATGAGTCGCAACTGGGCGGTCGCGTAGATGCGCGTAAGGGCGGACCAGAGTTTATGTCCGATATCATTTGATACGTGGTCTACTTTGAACGGCAAGAACAAGTAAACATTCTTTTTCTCTGCGTTTACTACCGGTATTTTCTCCTTGGGAGGCCTGCTGTGGATCTGAATGAACTTCTCAGGATACCCATTGGACACCAAGGTTTTGAACAAAAATTCTTCTTCAGCTTGCAACATTTCGGGGCTGCATATTCGTCTGGCTCTGTAGAAAAGCGTTTTCACTAAGCCACTTTTGTATGCGACCGGGGCAAAGCTGGAAAACTGAAGGTACTGCCCGCTCCAAGTTGCCTTGCGATGAACCGTGCGCTGCAGTGTACCATCAGTCCGTCTCTTAATGAGTATATCCAAAAATGGCAGACTATCATGTTGCTGCAACGCATGGGACACTGATAGGTTTGGATGAATTGAATTCAGAGCTGTCAACAGCCGTGCAAAATGTTCGTCGGTGGTGAAGACTAGGATGTCGTCCACGTACTGCTTGTACAACGTAGCCTCACAAATGCTGGCAGTAACTTGTCTTTCTATCAAACCGAGAAAAATGTCTGCTAGTACTGGTCCCAGAGGGTTACCCATGGCGACGCCGTCGATCTGTTTATAAGCAGTCCCCTCAAACTCGAACCGTATATTTTCTGTGCACAATAGAATCATATCCCTCAAATACTCTAGCGGCAGGCCAACAGACATGTTTTGACTCGGGATGAAATTACACAAATATTCAACCGTCTCACGTAGAGGCACGTTTGTGAACAAGGAGTCGACGTCTATTGAGTACATGTGCTCCGCACCCAGCGACACATGTTCCAGTGTCTCGACCAATTCAAAGGAGTCTTTTAGACAATAAGTAGTCAGGAGTTTGCGTACTGGCTCCAACATTTTCGCTAGCCACTGCGCAACGTTGTGATACGGTGAGTTGTTCATACACATAATCGGGCGCAGTGGGTTACCGCCTTGTGTCGCCACCATCATTGTTGCACACGGGGGAAGCGTCCGCCAAGCAGGAGAAAGAGTTGCATCCTTCACCCTCCAATAAGTTGCAGCTTACAACCGTGCACAGGACACGGTAACAAGCCCGAGCAGGGGCTTCCGAACCTTAAGCTACCAATAAGCCCAGGAATGTCCGTTGTGTCCTTTCCCACTTGGCATAGTTTTCTAACTACCGACTCGTAACAGTAAAGTCTTGGGTCCTAACCACATACGTCAGATCCAGTCCATAATGCTGAAGAATCCAGAATGAATGAAACAGCCATGCGGTGTTTGTCCGGATGTGTAATGGCTGTCTGACTGATTATTGATATAATGAATCAATTTTATCTCAGCTAGATCTCCCTACGGCTTCCTTGAATGGATCAGTCTACTACTACTGTTGCTGTTTATGAGTGGACGGTTGACAGGAACAGCCTTCCTACTCATGAGCAGAGGGATTTGGTCCGCTTTATTTCTTTCATCGCAATTAGATTGGAAGCAGAGAAGCCAAACGCCAGTCCAGAGAAACACCAGACGGCGTTTCGTCCTCATGGAACTTGTCACAAAGTGCGCATTCGTGACTGCGATGAACTAAATAAATCTCACCAAACCCCTCCATTCATGAGTAGTCAAGCGTTAGCTCTAACACTCTTCAAACTACTACGTGGATCCATGGCTATTGTTGGGGAACTCCTGACAAGTGAGGGCCAATCACTATCCTCTGCACGGGTAGTAATCTACATGACAGTGGAAGGCGGACGGGCTATATTCACAGTTTCATTGCAGTCCATGTTGGTCGGCCTTCATCTCCCATGGCTCAGTAGCATAAACTGCTGGCTAGAGATGCAAGTCGCTTGCGGTCATGGGTTCGATCCCAAGGAGGGGACAGAAGGAATGTGCACCAATAATGAGTCTCAATAGACCGAAACGATCGTCTGGTGCTTTTCCGGGTGAGTAGCTTACTTATGCAGCATGGAATCTAGTTGCAATTAATCAACTCAAATCATATCCAAGTCCGTCTACTTATTCGTAATCAAAACATTAGCCCTACCAGTCTTGAAAATGCTGTGTGGATTCACGGCACCAGCAATGAAAAGCCTGACCCCGACGACCAACCACTGTCCTCTGCACAAGCAGTAACCTGTATGGCGGGGGAGGATGGGTTGTGCTATATCACAGTTAGGTGTCAATCCTCCCATGGCTCAGTGTGGTGCAAGCCACTAGCGGTCATATATTCGATCCCCATCAGGGATGGGAGGGTGCAACACCGGAAACCTTCACTTCGGTGACGGTCCCAGTGATCGGACTTCAAAGTCACACGAGGCCAAAAATGAGATCACGCGCCGCAATTAAATACACGGCAGATGATCCAAAACCCCAAAATCAACATCTATTTGTCTTGCTTTTGTATATCATTAAAGACTGGATTGGAGTGGCGGCACTTAAGCAAAGAATTTTTTACAGGTATATTGTGTGTTATGTAGGGTAAACAATTAAGAGACCTCTCGGGAGGTTAATATTAACATGCTACGGAGGTTGCTGTTTATACTAGAGACATTTTCCATATCCCATTGGGTGTGTTTGTGGTCCTTGGCTACTCTTCACAGGCTTATTGTCGTACACTCCCAGTTATTGTTCTCAAACTGAAGGTCATGGGTCTTTATTGAACAAAACTGAAAATCACTGCGACTAATGGGAAACCGGAGCGCTTGCAGAAAGCATAATTAGGGTTATAAAAGGAACTGTTTGCTAGTATTTCAGACAATCGGTGTTGGTATAAACAGTTTCGATTAGTTCGCGTAAATATGGAAAGTAACAGCTGCTCGAAGGGTAGACATTAAAACTCAGTTCGTGTACCTTGCTTGTATTAAATGTGAGCATGTACGCAGCAAAGTAGGTGAGTAAAGAAAGAGGATGTGAGCAGTTAGTGCTGAGATGAGAAGAAAGTTGGTTTCGCTCCATCGGGTTCGGATAAATGCTGCCATGGAGATATAAGCTTGAGTAGTAACATGAATTAGGTGATAGTTGACTGTGACGCGGGGCAATGAAAGCCGAAAGAAAGCTATCTTACCGATGCAGCCTCCTCTCCTCATAAGAGTCAGCTATTTGTTACCTGGTGCTGCTAAGTTATCAACTCTTTGGCTATGTCCGTTTGTCTAGGGTGTGTAGGCAGGTTCCACTCTTTTTGTGCCGTTGTTACCATTGTTGACGTTGCCCTTGTTGTTGTTGCTGCTGTTGTTGGCAATGTGGACGATTATTATTCAATTTTGCTTCAGCATGTTACAAGTCAACTGAAAAATGATAGTATGTTAATCTATATTGTATAAGAAAAGGAACCTAGACTTAGGGGAGCCATGTGTTGCCGTTGTCAGTTGGAAATACACATAAAATATTTCTTATACGGCGGCTAGAGAGACGAAAAATGTCAAGTGTATAAACGATGTTAGATCGTCACTTACCATAGCGTGCTATATTGGCTGTTGAATTTTGCTCCAATACTTGTTTGCTTGTTCTTCCTATAGATCGCGTTTAAACAAAACCGCTTTTATCATAATTTTTCGCAAACCCATAATTACTTGCTCTGTAGCAGTTGACACTTCTCTACCTCGATTCCTGCTAAATCAGCCGATTGTATTGCTGCCACCAGTTTGTATTACTTAACTTTGTTTGATCTGCACTTTTCTGGAGCACAAGTAACAAATTTCGTCAGTTCTGCAGTCAAGGTCAAATACTTTATTTATGATGGTTATTGTCAAGTAACCCGCTGTTAACCTGAAGTAAAACAGTTGTTACTTCCCTTGGCCGCCATTTCCTACATCCACATCAGAGAACTTGATTTGAATTCATACTCGCCTTTACGTCCCACTAAGCAATGTCTGGATCAAGGTATTGGATTATGAAACAGTTTATTCAATGGAACGCCATTGTCTTCTGATCTATCCGTGAAACGGATATTATGTGCCTCCGAATATAGTGCTCTCCGTGATTGTTACGTGAGGCTGATATGCACACCCAGTTATCGTTAGAGCTGTTATCAGACTCATATAATTGAAATTTGGTTTGGAAAGGTTTCTAAAACCCGCACGGTCAATTTGAATCAGATTGTTAAACGAGTTGAGCAGGGATAAGGATATACCATAGGTAGTGTACGTTTTGGACCAAATGACATAGAGTATGCAGAGATCAGCGTATCGAGCTTGTCGACCTAGTAAGAACCTTCACTGCATCCAACGCCTAACAGTTCCATAGACAAGGATGTCAATCAGCCGAGGTGGCACAAACCTGAATTTGTGAATCCAGTTTAGATTAAGGAACGCAACTCGAAGTTTTGTAATGCAATCAGCTCCACCTTATCAACATGAATTCACGGTTACCCTGGTAGGAATTACAAGAACCCATAGTAAAGTTAATAGTTCACAGATTTTAAGCTCCGGAAGGTGCATGTAGTTAAGAGAGCAGTGAAAACTTTATTTATCTTAAGACAGAAAAATTCAAACCGGCTTCGCAGTTCATGTATTGGAACATAGTCTTGAACTTATTTTTCAATACTTCTGTAAAAGAATGACAAAAGATGCAATATTATGCCGAATTCAATGTCAACTCTTTAACCATTTTTCTTTGCATAGCTATCTACAATAATATTCAAAAGATCAGTGTTCGAATCACGCAGAAGACCAGAAGGAAGCATGAAGCCCAGGGTTAAAGTGGACTTTGCTACGTTACTAATGGTCAGTACTACATCTGTTTTCTCCATGATATACACGACTTTAAGGCTCACTGTCCTCTGTCTTGTAGTGGTTCAGCAGTGCTCTGCACTTCTTAGAAAGTAGATCTGGAAAGGGTCGGAGTAGAAAACTGGCATTTTAATGCCCGCTTGCATGTTCGACCACTTTCGTAGTATGATTACTGAGTACCCCTAACGATGTATCTGTTTTGTTGAGATGATTCGTCAAAGCATACAGGAATTCTTGGTATATTCTTTATCATGTTAACACTGCTAGCGCTACAGACAAAAAGCAAGACTACCCGGATGAAATACCGCCCACTCATCCGTGCAAAAATCTTTTCCTTAGGGTGAGATAATAAATAAGGAGTTTGACATAGTCCACGGGAAGTTCGCCGATTTTCTTGCAGCGAAAGTGTTACCAGATATTGTCAAACTCGTGTCTCTGTTCATAAAGTTGGCCGCATGAACTCTCTATGGGAAAAATGCGACAAACTGAATGAAGAATCAAAAGAACAATAAACCGATATAGTGCACACACGAAACTGAATCGATATTGGAGCTTAACTATTTATTGGTTTAGAGTGATGATCTTATTTTTCTTTTCTTTTTTCGGTTCCGGTTTTATACTCGGTGTCCAATTCATGTACCGTAGGTTAGCTTAGTGATCCTGTTGTTAAATCATGACAAGTATTTTAGCTTAGATCGGAACGACAAGCTAAGCATTCTCGCCTACAATATAATACGGATTTATGGGAGCTCTGTTGTTTTAGAGTACTGAATTTTCGCCATCATATTTAGGGATTACTTTTAACTGTTACACATCCAACAAAATTTTTGTAGGAAATGGGCACTTGTAATTTACCGAAAAAAGTAAATTGTTAACTGAAGCATTGGGACCCATTGCGTTTCTGATAGGGATATTCGCGCAAGTCGCTTGCTAAATCGTGCGTGCTCGACGTGACCAGTATAACCCACTTGATGATCCAACCAAAAGTAAGCGGACGGACCGTTTAGATGTACTAGGTACTGCCGCTGAAACGACAATACTATTTGTTCCCAATCAATCCTGAAAAAAAAACATTGAAAGCTGGTAACCAACATGCCGGACTTCTAAGAATGATGTTCGGATATAAAGATGATCGTAAGTCCCATTAGTTGCTCAGCGCTTATGTTCATCTTCAAGTGCATTGCGCAATTTCAGTCTAGCTACTAAATCTGAAACATGATGTCACTACGACGCAGCGATCTCAACGCTGGGCTTCCAACTACAACAATGGAATGTACGAGCTTCCCTACACTTGAAGGATGAAATTATGGCTGTATTCAATGGACTGCATCACCGATAACGTGAAACTTTTATAACGACTTACCTGACCCTACACCGTCCAAGTCGTATGGGGCACTCATTGCTGCAGCTCAACGTTAACATAAATTTCAGGCACCACACCTGGACATTGTCGGAGCAGAAGGGTTTTTCGCTTTCGGTGTCCCTTCGTTCCAACGCGCTCTCCGAATCAGTCCTTCTGAACAAAGGCTTACTATATTTAAAAAAAGTTTGGATGACGCAGTTACTCACCTACATTTTGTTACTTAGAACTATCCCTCTGTTCTACCCCTAGGATATATCGTGGAGTTATTTTGGGTCATCTGTACGTGCTGTGAAACAGCTGAGAAGCAGAACTACTGCAGTATAAATCAAAATATGTAGTCTTGCTTTAAATAGCATGATAACAAACCGCGTTTTGCTTTCAATGCCTTATACAATTAACCACTAGATCACCCAACGGGGTTTATAAGGCACAGGTTTCATATCGCGCATAAACCCACAGATCAACTTTCACAGTTGAGAGTGAGCTAGAGCTAGATTGACCCAAAAAAGCGACTTACTGTGCCGGCGAAGAATTTAAAGGTTGACAGCTTAGTTTTAAGTAAAACACCAGATTTGGCAAATATAATGTCTGAAAGTGAAATGAGGTGGAACAGGATGACCTATCGTGAACATGGTACCATCATAGAATCTTCGAACCCTCTCTAGACACCCAGATGCATGAAGACCTGATACATATCTTGCCTCACGGCTTTGTTTGGCCGGCATGGGAGTGGTTGTGTGTACGTCTTTCCATGCCCAGCATTTATCACACTATGAAATATCATCTTTAACTACATCCGGCACGACGAATGAACAGGCCCCTACAAATCGGATATCTCTACCTCCGTCATTGGTGCCAGCGGCCAGCTAGCTTGCATCAACGAATTCCGAGTGTACTATCCTTGGGACAGCGTTTGGTTCAAAGAGGTCTTATACCAAATAATAGACATTGATGCAACGATAATTGCATTCGGTTCCCGCACGCAAGGTCCCTGCCCTCACCAGTAAGAGTTATTGAGTAATTAATTCAGACCCCATGCATGTCCGCTGCAAGCCAACAGTAAGTTTGGTAGAAAATTCTTCTACCACTTTCTACTCTTTCCCTGCTTCTGAAGAATCATCTTGCACATTCACCCCATCTTAAGCGTTTAGCATTTTAGAAAAGTGGGTAACGGGCCAGTAGCAAGAGCCCTTTTGGTCCGCTTGTACCACAGCATTACCCGTTTACCCTTACAATTTATGGAAGAGATGTGCGGCATATGTCTGTAAGTAATCTGCATATAGCCACGATCAGCTTGTGACCGCTTCAATACTCAGTGACTAACGATCCAGAAGAAGTACGTCATGTTATGCTTTGTGTGTCACAGTGCGCAATAGCCTGCGTGACGCGGTAGTACAAAATGCTGGTTGTGCAACGTTTGTTACGGTATATCGTCTGTTGATGTACAAAACTGTGCAAACGACTGCACAGATGGTAAAACTATTATCACAGCTCGTTATACTGTTGGTGACTGAACACACACATGAAAGAAGGCTGCCACCGTAGTATGAGCTTGATGACATCAAAGACGCGCGCTTCTTATCGAGTTTCGAGCGGTGGAAGCAACAATGATGAACCGTTGCTTAGTGAACATTTTAGTTTACCATAAACAAATGTACGGATTGCACCAAGCGTTTTAAATTCTGTAGTTGCGGTAAATATTGAATGAGGCCAGGAAAAATATTCGTTTGAGAAACCATACACTTTCTCTTCTGCCCAATCCACACATCCTCTCGTTTTTCTCTGTCTTCTGCAGAATCAATACCCTCGAACACAAACGGAATGTTGCCTAGCTAGTCTTTTTCCAAACCCCGCTTCGCAACTATTGGCTATTGTAGAAGCCCTTAGCACGCCACCTGCAGAACGCCGCAGTCTGTTTAACCCGGCCCTGCCAGAGGATGAAAACAGCTGGGAGATCAATGATGTTTACACGGAACTACTTATAGCCGCCTTGGAGCTAATCTATCGTAAGTTAGTGAAGACATTGGGTAAGCCGGGGTTAATTAGGGTTATGGTGGATAAGTAAAACACCGGGCATGATTTCAGTTTGGGTGCACAGCCCTACTATGCGCACACGTTTTCTGTCAGACAATCTCGAAGCAGCAGCAAGTAGCATTAATTCATTGATGCTTTTGGAGGTAACTTGATATTAGAAGTACATTGTAAGTCCTATCTTATTCGCTGGAACATATGTAAAAGTTTGGCAGATGTATCCACCGAGGCCTCCCTACGCTGTGCTACTACATGTTAGTCAACACCGCATTGATGATGGCACCTCGATTGGTGATGAAATGTCTGTAACAAAACTGCCAAATTCAGCGAACAGTTCAGCGACCATCTGAAGCAAAGTACAGCTTGTCTATGATGATCACACGCGCTATTTTCTGGAGATCCTCGAGACGTGTATCATAAAATACGTCTCCGGAATAGTAATACACACTAGGATCCCTCCGGTTAAGTAAGCTGGGGGCAGGTATGCAGCGGAGTTGCGGCCAAAAACCGCCTTATAATATTTCCATATAAGATTTAGGGTAAAATCAAAGCAAACTCGTATACCATACGAAGCTCCGGAAAAAGTAAACTAAGTCTGCTGGAGCACAGGTTGCCCACTTATGCAGTTGTAACATCTAGGGGTTGAGATTTATGAAAAATTGAAAGTCTCATTACAGGACCAACAGTCGCACTGCTTTCAGATCGTTATCACCTGGCAGAATAGAGCACAGTAGTTAACATCTTAATGCTTAAACCATGAGGTGCCAAAACTGAAATGGGCTACTCCTATGACTTAACATACTCTGAGGGAATGCGTGAAGTGTATACATAGTAGAATACCTAGTCCGCATAGAGTAACTTCGTACCTTTTCCTACGAATGTGTCACGTTAACTGTAGTACATGGTGTTATTGAGCTACTGATGAAACCATTAGTATTGTATTCCAAACCTCAACAAACACAATGTAACAACGGTCCCGACTGTGCTTAATAATATTTCAAGAACTTTAGCTCATGACATTGTTCTGAGCCGTGAAACCAGCCAATGCAGATTACCTCGGGATTCCGCTTCACGTGAATATCACCCCATCATGCTATCCAGGAAAACATGACAACTATTCAAGCACGTTCCAGTTTCATCAGCAAACACAACCTTTACTGCGCCGACCAACTCTGAAAAAGTAAAGGTACATTCCACACTCTACAACCGAATGCATTTCCGTATATTGCGACCCAACTCGTTATGGCATTCCATGGTAGTCGTGTTTTGCTCTAGCAGAGTAGGTTACTGGTCGCGGACTCATGGTAACGGACCAACGATTGGACACACGTGTGTCTACAAACGCTGGAATCACTCCTGTTCCGGGTTTTTAGGTAACCATTGGTTTATGTGACATTGTCTATGCTAGTTTTTGTGAAAATCTTTTGACTGATACCTCGCTTGCTTGTTAATATTCAGCAAAAGTCACAGCTAATTTGGGTGCTTTGTACGGAACGGGATTCAGAAGTGGCCATCATCCGCCAAATCTGGAAGTTAAAAACCTCAAAGCTACAAATACCATCGCTCGGATAACAGACGAGACTATTGGTATGCTTCAACTGGAACTCGTTGAGTTACTGGCCGGATGCGCAAGATCGAATCGTGCCGTGCCGGATACTATGTCCCCAGTTTCCGTTTCATGTACAACTGACACAGTGCTCTGTCTGATGGAGATGGCGTTCGCCATATCGCACTATGAGATTTTTGTGACGTTCTACGGTCTCACAGCCAGATACCTAAAAGTGAGTCCGAGAAATAGATCTAGTACGGGTCTACGTATGGAAGATTTCGAATACTTGTCGTTTTTGTGTGGTTTGGTATTTTGGCAAGAGCTTCATCAGTTCAGTAACTAACTGATACATTGGAATGATTAAGACTATAAAAAATGCCGTCATTCGGATCATTGTAGTTGCAGTCCAAAAAGGTGAAGCACCATTCACTTGAGAAGATAATCATGAAAAACTCTGTTAGTCCATTTTACAAGACATTCGCGCGCAAAGCGTGTTACTGCCGTGCTTTTCAACACCTGTACGTACACTGTGTATTGCGGGCTCAGTAAACCTTGGTAACAAATGAACAAATGAATAAGAGTCGCCTTTCTCTGTAATTGGGATACTTATTTGAAGAACAGTCACTGGCACCTTCGAGCAGGAATAGCATTTTACATATTCTAATCATCACACTTCTTACGGTGGTGAATTCCTTGCTCGGTGTCATCTTAAGATCACCCTAACTTGTCTTTCGATCCCTGTTTCAGCCTCTAGTTGAATCCTTCAGTGACTTTAGTATCGTCTTCAAAAAATGTATTGGTACATTCCCACAGGTACAAAAGCATCACATTAATCCGTAAAAGAGACTAAATAGGGAGTAAACACAAATGTTTTATATTACGCACGGCGATCCACAGGATAACGAGTAAATCGAGCTTCCTGCATGTTGTTAGCAGTTGATCTTTATTTGGTTTCCTATTATGAATATGTCGTATGGTATTTAGCGAAAAGATTGAAATTTGACATTTATTCAAAAACGTCTGGGTGTCGTGCATACAACACAGGATGCATTCCCATGATTAACAGATTGGTTTGTCGGGAGGTTTAGTAAAGACACATGCGTTGCTGTATCGGCCATTTTCTGCAAGCGTCTTCTTTCTGCTAAGAACCGACAGCCATCTATTTATGAGTGCAACAAACATCAAATCTACCGTCGTCAAAGATGGCCCAATTTCTACCCAGGAATCGTCCTTCGACGCTGATCGAGTTGTACCTGACGGTAGAAGACTTGGTTGTACCGAATTACAAGACTCATATCCGCCTGCCCTCTTGGAAGTACATCTGGAACATATTCTCCAGCCAGCTACGCTGCGAAGCAGAAATTACGTTGCTACTCACATAGGTCAGTGCGAAATGCAGTCACCGTGCAGCTGGGTTGCGCTACTTAACTATGGAACAACGGTACAATTGTCTATTATGGGTAAAAAAAAGCATTGCTTAACAAGTCGCGTGGGATGGAAATTATTGCGAAAAGTGAATTGCGTGACAAAGTGAAAAGTGTTGTGGTGGACTCATCATAGACTTATGTAGAATAGCGGAGATGTTCGCTTACTAAACGTATAAATTCATAAATCCATTGGTTTGGAGTTTGACAAGACACCGTTTAACTGCGTTTTCTAGCCTCTGGCTAACATAAAATGAAATATAAATGAGACACTGCATCGTCAACTCGTTTTTTAAATATCGCCAGATTGGGAGCAGGGACGACATAATTAGGGAGGGCGTTCCAAGGCTGGCACATGCGGAGGGAAAAGAAATTTCTACGGCATTCAAGCTGGCTATACTGAATTGCCAGTTTCAGAGGGTGACCTCTTAGGTTAGTGTTGTGGTTCAATGCCAGCAGCGGACGGCAAATGTGGTTTGGGTTCTTCAGGATTTGGTAAACCATTATGAGATCCCTCCGCAAAAGCCGATATCGACTGCTTTAGATTCATAGAGATTTCAGTCTAAGCTGATAGGGCAGATGAAAGAGGCCCCTGACGTTCTTGGTTGCCCGTCGTTGAGGAACCTCGAGAGCAACAAGATCCTGTTTCTGCCACGGCTGCCACGCCTGGATATCATATTCCACGTGAGGTCGCACGTAGGCGTTAAGCATTTGGGGAAGATTGATGGTTCAAACCGACCGAAGGCTCTGCGAAAAAGGCCGAAGTGTTGATTTCCGGTTTTCGTCGCCTTCTCTGCTTGTTTTGAACACCCGAGATCTTCCTGTACCAAACACCCAGGTCACCCTCCTGAGAGACCATCTCCAAGGTGTGGTCTCCAAGCTTGTAAGCGCTCACCGGCTGGTAACGCAGATACATCACTTTGCACTTAGCCATGTTCAGTTGAAGCATGTTCCTATTTGACCATTAATATAGGCAATCTAGGTCATGTTGCACTATATCCTGATCTCCATTGTTATTAATCGCCTGCCATATCTTGACGTCATCAGCAAAATGCAGGATATTTGAGGAGATAACTCTTCCCAGGGCGTTGATAAACACCAAGAATAAGCGCGGTCCCAGCATTCAGCCTTGTGGGACACCATATTTCACCTCAATTGGGTTAGAGAGTGATCGCCTAACGCGTACTTAAAGCTTCCGTTGGTGAAGGAAGCTGCCAGTCCAACCAAGTACAGGATCTCCGATTCCGTAGCTCTGTAGCCGTTGAAGTAGGATGTAAATAAATAAATAAATAAATAAATTTTTTATTCTCGACAAGGCGAGGCACGCCTTTACAGGCATGACCATTAGGACAACAATGCGTGGTTTGAAGGTGCAAGAATACATTATGTTTGCCGTACCAGTGTATGTTTATGTAGGGGGTATGTAACTATGTAACTGTGTGTGTGTGTGGGTGTGTCATTGTGTGGTTCCTGTTTGTAACTGTGCTGCTCTAACTTTGACTCTCATATCGTCGGCAATGCTCGAGTAGAAAATGGATGTCCGTGCGTTGGAAAGGATTATTCGGGGCAGTGACTTTATTTTGTGGCGAGTCACGACCGCCACGTCACAGTGTTGTTAAGCAGACATTTGTGGCTTTTTATAGGGAGAACGCTTGCCAGGCGAAAACCCACCACGTCCTGGAACACTGCCGCCGAACTATTTGCTGGAACGGGTCAAACCCGAACCACCCAGCTGGCACCACGAGGAGGTTGTTCGGCTAGCCAGCCAAGGCGGTCGGAAGCTTTGGAGAAGTCCAGGTAGATGACGTCAACTCCAACCCCATCATCAGCCACTTCTGTCCAACTACCTCGTGCAATCAGTAGGTTGGTGGTGCATAACCGGCGTTGACGGAAGCCATGCTGCTCCGGTACCAAGATGTTACATTTTCCCAAGTAGTCCATTAAAGCCTCAGCGACGACTGCTTCCATCAGCTTCGCGAGCACAGGGAGGAGAATCACTGGGAGATAGTTCGCAGGATCTGAACGGCTACCGCCTTTAAAAATTGGGTGATAATGCCACACTTCCACATAGTGGGGACTTGTTGTTCATCAAAGCACCTTTAGAGAACTGTGACAGTGGTTCAGCTAGCTTGTTGGCCACAGCCTTCAGTGCCTTCGGGCGGATGTTGTCTGCTCCCGGAGAGCTATGCTCACGCAGTGAGAGTAACTTCCTTAGCACAATTGATGGGTTGAAAATTACATGTGTAAACAGTGGAGTCGGTAATGTGCATGACATTATGGGACAGGTAGAGGCTGCAAGTTCGAAAATTGGGGCGTATTGTAGCCGCAGGGCATTAGCTGCTTCTTCGGCGCTTTGTACTCTACCGCCTGTCGTGAAAAGTGGAGGGATTCCATGCTTCACTTTACGAAGATTATTGACATGCCTATATAGCAGTTTGTTGTTTGCCATGAATTTTTTTGGCTAGGCACTGTTGATAAGTTACTTTGTCCTCACGGACAAGTGCAGTGCAATGGTTGCGATGGGTCAGGAAATTGCCCCAAGTCTCTGAGTCGGGGTTAATCTTGTAGGCACGCCATGCTGCATCCCTTATCGCCAGGCATTTTCGAGTCCTGCTCCTTAGAATTGAAGGCATTTTTGCGGGACGAAGGGGCTTGGTCTCTGATGCTCTGATGACGATGTCGCTGAGTCTATTAACGAACTCTGTCCAAACGTTGTCAAGGCAACTGTTGTTTGAGAATTCCCAAGCAGCTTCGTCGGCGAGATCTTTCAATACGTGGTAGCGTGTGATTGTATGAGTTAGTTCCGAGTGTTCAGATGGATACTCTGCATAACACACATAGTTGAACGTTATTACTACATGGTCACTGAGACCTAATGGACTATCCATCAATAACTTGTCAACCATGAGCTCTTCATTCGTGAGCACAAGGTCCAATATGGACGGTTTGTTTGCTGTCCTGAATCTAGTGGGCGTGGTGACATGATTGTACAAGGGAATATTAGCGATCAGTTCATGCAAGTCTGCTTTGAACTGCTCACTGGGCGATGCCGAAACCTCCAGATCGTGTAGATTGAAGTCCCCGGAGATGAGAATGTGGCTGTACCTAGTGCGTGTTACTCTGTTCAGGACACGTATCAAGCGGGAATCCATTTCCGGAGTGGACGTTGGGGGGCGGTAAACGACAGCTACGAGACATGCGTCGTTGTGTCTTAGTCGGAGACGGCACCAGAGTGAGTCGGTAACGTGTGTTTCCAGATCATCAACTATTGTACATTGTAGATCGCTGCGGTAGTAGAGTAGGATCCCACCTCCTCTGCTGAGGCGGTCGTTCCGGATGAGTGACATTCCGGCTATCTCAACCTCAGCATCAGTCACCTTATGGTGTAACCAAGTTTCGGTAATAGAAATTAGGTCCCAAGCATTCGCAACCTGACGTAGTCGAAGTTCGGTAAGTTTACTGAGGAGCCCTTGGGCGTTAGTGTACATACATGAAAGTTTCTCAGATTTAAGCAATGTTTCGGAGGTTGTACAAATCATATGTGAAGTTTCGCCGACCAGTGAGTGGCCGGCGACTAATCGTTTTTTCGGTGTGTATTTGGAGAAGGGTTTAACGTCTTATTCATCGTCCGTGTAGTTAGTCCCGTGTCTAATCTTCTACGTACAGTGTAAGGTGTCTGGTCAATATCATTTTCTACAGGTTGTATGGGCTCATTCGACACATTACTGGTGCATTGTTCTTTCATAGATCCCATCGCGTTTGGTTCTTTGAGTGACATATCATCTCTAGGAGGCATATCGCTGATTGT